AACTTTGGCATCGCAATATATTTATGAAAATGTAATGTATGTACATAAAAACATAAATAGCTTTAATAAGAATAAGGATGTTCATACCTTAAACACTAGGAACAAACATAAGCTTGTAATGCCACTTACAAGACTCCACAGAATTAGTAATTCATTTATGGGGCAATGTATACGCTTTTACAACAGAATCCCAGAACATGTTCAAAGTTTGTCAATAAACAAGTTTAAAAGTTTTATTAAAGAAAAACTGTACAAAAAGGGTTATTATAATATCAAGGAATACATGAGTGAAAATAACCCCTGGGAATAAGGTGATCGCCACCATGCTGGTTCTATGAAAATTCATTTAAAATTGTATAATCAAAATTATTGTTAAGTGAAATTATGTTTAAAAAAAAAAGTCCCGCTGGGTTTCTTGCTGGTTCTTCCCAGGACAGAGGTATTTTCCGAACCAGTGGTAAATAAAATAATGACTTTCAATAAGTATTATGTAATAATCCATATTGAATAAAAATCATTCTATTCTATTCTATTCTATAGATCTCACGCGTTTTGAAGTAGTATTCGGACACACTGAATTCAATAGTAAATTTGACGTAGATTTTGATAAGCAATTCACAAAACAGTAAAGGAACACGCTAAGAGGACCAAAAATTTATATGAATATATTACAAATAAAATAATTGACAAAAAATTGACGGCGAGAGACAAACACGCAGGTGAATTGCAGTTCGATATAGATGTAGGTGATACTGTGTTCATAAAAGGTCTTAATACTAGACGGGGTAAGGATAAATCGGGTTACCAGAAGGTTTATGTCACCTGTGTTATAAAGAGAAATGTAGTTTCCGTTGAAACTAATAAACTTTTTAACCATATGTACGTGGTAGAGCCATGCTGCAGCTATATTAGTAGTATAGTTGTAGCACGAATGAGTCGGCTTTACCAGGGAAGGACCACGTTCTTACAGAATACCAGCGTAAAATAGCAGCTTAACACTGCTGTGTTTCGTATGGTGAGTGTAGAGAACTGGAGACCCTTTTTACTGGAAAAGAGGCATTCCATCTTAGTCCTCACGGGTGACACACCTGCATTTTGAGTCTATTGAGGATAGATGTAGATGTCTATGGGCCACAGCAACCACTTACCATCAGGTGGACTGTGTGCTCGTTTGTCACCTTATCCTATAAAAAAATTTATTGATATTAAAGAAATAAAACGTCCTTAGCAGATTATTTCTACTGGTGATCCGAACGATGGGAATTCAGGCCCTTCGTCAGCTTCGCATTGACAAGAACCCAGGATTATTACCTTTTAACGAAGGTCAAGCATTCGTTAATTATGATAATCGGATAGTTAGTAAGATATTAGATTTAAATTTAATTTACTATTTATTTCATTTACTAATAAGAATCAAGTATGCATAGATATGGGATGCTTAAAAAGCATGTTCAAAGTTGTTTCGATATTAAATCATTTGATTCAGATTTTACAAAAACAATAGCAAACCGATTATACAAATTTAAACAATTAATATCTTCATTACGAACTAAAATAGGTCTCCTCAATCCGGTAGGCTCCCTCAAAAAAAAAAACTATCACAGGTTATTTAGATAACAATGACGCTCTTAGATATGAAAGATTAATAAATAAGTTACATACAATAGTTGCTGAAATGGTGAGCACCTTTACAGATGTGGCAAATTTGACTAAAAGCAATTTTATACGAATAGAAGGTAGTATTCAAAATCAAGCTTTAAACAATATAATAATAAATTTTTTCATTGGATTAAATTGAAACAGCCAATGCTTTTGGTAAAATTTATGTGTAGCACATTAGTTTTATGATGATGAATCACTGATGGTAAGTGGTTGTTGTGACCCATTGACATCTACATCTATCCTCAATAAAGAATCAAAATGCAGATGTGCTGTCACCCATGAGGACTAAGATGGAATGTCTCTTTTACACTCACCATACGAAACACAGCAGTGTTAAACTGCTATTTTACGTTGGTATTCTGTGCAAGCGTGGTCTTTCTCCGGTCGAGCTGACCCATTCGTGCTGCAACTATACTACTAAAATAGCAGTAGCCGGGCTGTCCCAAGTATAAAATCAAGTTGTCACCTGATTCCTGTTACCCTTGAAAATGCGAAGATCTACCTCATACAACCAAATCGATGGATAGCTTAATCAAATACTGAAACAGCCATGACACAATTCTGTGACAATGAAGTAAGCCCGGAGATTCTACTAGGTACCTATCTCATAACTAATGATAACTGCAAGGTGAAAATCAAAGGATACGAACTGGAAAGACATTAGAAACAAGGTAAAGAAATAACTTACCCTGTGATGTCTGCTTGCCGCTTAGCAGTTAGCAGTGCAATGCATTTACGCACACAGGTGTGGATTTTTAGGGCCTGATTTATATTACATTGAGACGTAAGCGTGGTATACGCAGCTAGAAGGCTTATTTATGTTTATTCGTATGCCTTGTTAATAAGGCAGTTCATTTAGAACTAGCGTCGGATCTAAGTTCGGCTAGGTTTTTAAAAGATATCTCTCGGAGAGGGCCGTGTAAACTTCTATACAGCGATAACGGTACTAATTTCGTCGCTTCGAGTTCATATTTACATAAATTATATTGCTTTTTGCAATCTGAGGAATATTATAAGGCATTCAATCAGGTGCTTATTGATAATTGCATTATTTGTAAACTCAGCTCTCCAACATTTCGGGCCGTTATGGGAGTCCAATATTAAGTTTGTAGAAAACCATTTGTTTCACGTAATAGGCAAGCAAATGTATGAAGAAATGCTTAATACATTCTGTGTAATCGAGTGTATCTGAAATTATCACCCACTTTATATATTAAGTTGTGATCCTTCGGAACCTACAGCACGCACGCCCGCACATTTCCTGAATTTAAAACCGCTTGAATGTTTACCAGCTGCTGATTTAAATAAAGAACGTATTATTTATTTAACACGCTTCTTTTTAATAGGTTCTTTGGTCCAGTCGTTTTGGAAATGCTTTATATTTGATTACTTACTTACATTACAGAGTAGGGCAAAGTGGAATAAGAATGCCACTGAAAATTCTGTAGGAACAATAGTTATAATAGACATGTATAATACTCCACCTGCCTGTTTCAGTGTCCTCTAGGCATTGTCACCGAATTGTTTAAAAATTGACACGAAATAAACCACCTTGATAATATTAGTTTACTGACCTGAAGTGACATGTAAAAGCGGCAATGGTGCGGTAGGCACGTAGTACTCACGCGGTATCGACGTATGTAATTATTTAACTACACTTTCCGTTCATAGGTACTTATATAGAAAAAAACGAAAGAAAAAAAGAACGTTATTCAAAGAACGTTATGAAGGATAAATCTTTTCATTTAATGAGATAATTTTATCGTTAACCCGTATAAGTATTTATCCGCTATTATTATTCTAAGTCCGCTATATATATATATATATATATATATATATATATATATATATATATATATATATATTATTTTGTATTTTCTTTCGCTATTTGAGGATTTCTTAAGGCCCGGGGGATGTTCGCGCCAAATTGCAACTACCGCTTAACGCTTATGATATTTGTTAATTGTTATCCAATGAGAATACTGCAAGGCCCACTCCCGGGTTTCCTAGCTACCGCTTTTTATGCCCAACATGTGCAATTTTCTTAAATGGGGTTCACAAAAGTTCGGAAGTCATGCAACTAACCGCGCCGCTTATACCTTGCGTCGTCGCCTCCCGGCGTGTTAACTATATACGAACATAATCAAGTATAAAGAAATTTTATTATAACGCTATATTTCGCGATAAATTGTGAAGTAATTTGTGTAAAGATAGCCGGCATCCAACCAACGTGCAACACAGCCTTCGAGACACGAGGCAGATTAGCAGAAGTCCGGGTCCAGGAGTGCACATGTATTCCTTCACATCCATCCTGTAGCCCGAATTTAGGTAAATTTGCAGTATCGCGAAATAGTATATTATCACTGCCTCATACAGTCCATAATCAACGTAAAGCTATCCCTTTAATAACTCTGAACCAGCATTTGGTAATTTAGATTAAGAAACCATTTTTACTATCATTATATAGTAAAATTCGGGACTCCTCATCCAGGACGGGATAATTAATTACATCCAACACCCCCATACATATTTGAATACCCTCTAGCCTCCTCCGTTTTGGAAAATTGGAAAATATGAATTAATTTATTATATTTACAGAGTATTTTCTGTAAGTTTCGAGTCAATCGCCTTGTAAAATAAAAAGTTACATACAAAGTGTAATACCCTATTTCACCCTCTTCGGGTTTGAATATTTTAAAATAATTAATTAATAATAATTTTCAAAGACTTTCTTATTGGACACCTCATAAAAGGCAACTATAGATCAAATTTCATATTTCTTCTTCAAGCAGTTTGGACTGTGCGTTGTCCTCAGGGGTGATAACACACTTTCATTTTGACTTTGCTCGATTGTAGAAGTAGGTGTTCCCGTCTTCGCTACAGCCTATTAAAGTCCACTGCTGCCCATAAATTGACTCATAGGGGCGATACTTGCCATAGTTGTCACGCACGCAAGTGTGTTAGCTACCGCAGTTTTTTAGTCGTTATTAGATCGACGCTGTGGCCCCTAACCTGGTTTGTTTCCCTCTTTAACCATCTCACGACACCCACGGGATGATATGGGGTAGCGGATATTCTTATATATCTTAATATATAAAAATAAGTATTATACTTTCTTTTATATATATATATAAATAAATATTATACTTTCTTTTTCTGTGTACCGTAATTGAAATAAAATACGCATAGAAAACGAGCGGGGCTTAATTGTATTCTCTGATAGAGAAACAGATGCATTGCGAGCAACGGTAAATCAGTAAAATCTGCTGTATCCAACTCTCCGCAAAGTCGCGTCGGCAGTCGCCAGTTGCTCAGTCGTTGCCGCGAACTTAACCGCTATGGGTCGGACACTATACAGCTTTACCGCGTACGCGCGCCCTTTGATAAATCCGAACTGTAGATACGCTACCACAGGTTGCCCGTTTTCTAAACGCCAACGCTCCCAAATAGCACCAACTGCCGCTCTCAACGATGAGATTTTCGCTAATGCGAAACCTTACTCCGAGGTCCCCGGACCCAAACCGATACCAATTTTGGGCAATACTTGGCGAATGGTACCAATAATTGGACAGTTCAATATTTCAGAGTTCACGAAAGTGATTAAAATGTTTCTCGAGCAGTATGGTAGGATTGTCAGACTGGGTGGTTTGATCGGAAGACCTGATCTCCTTTTTGTGTACGATGCGGATGAAATTGAAAGATTGTATAGACGTGAAGGGCCAACACCATTCAGACCAGCTATGCCTTGCATGATCAAATACAAATCTGAAATAAGGAAAGATTTCTTTGGAGAACTGCCAGGTGTTATTGGAGTGTAAGTATTGCAAATATAGTCGTAAAATAATTATTCACTTATTTTATTTACAGAATAGTTTCAGTAAGTTACGAGTCAATCGCCTCGTAAAATAAAAACATTCTTACAAATTGTTACACCCTATTTCACACTTTTAGAGGTTGAATATTCCAAAATTCTTTCTTAGTGGATGTTTAAGTAATGCAAGGAACCTATTGTCCTAATTTCTATGCTTTTATGTACTTACAGCGGCTTGGGCCATTCAAACCCCCCATTCTTAATACAATATTTTTCATACAAACTTTGCACCCTTGTTTTAAAACTTTTAGAAAAAATTAAAAAAAAAAACATTAATTATGTTTTTCCCCATAAAATTTTGAATACCCTCAACCATCCCGGTAAGGGGTTTTTTTGAAAAATCGCAAACTATGAGTTATTTTATTATATTTACAGAGTATTTTCTGTAAGTTTCCAGTAAATCGCCCAGTAAAATAAAAAGTTTCATACAAACTGTAACATCCTATTTCACCTTCTAATATTTTCAAATGTTAATTAATGAATACTAATAATTTTCAAAAACCATTTCTTAGTGGATGCCTACGTCATAAAAGGCTGCAATAAACCAAACTTCAGATTTCTCCGTCAAGGGGTTTGAACTGTGCGTTGATATTTCTGTGTACATGAAATGAAATAAATAATTTAAAATTAAAAATTTTGTACATACGACTTCAATATAAATTATTAAGAATATCTCAAAAACTATTGGTCTGACCTTGATCAATGGACCTCATGTGTGGAATGGATTCATATGGGACCACATGTGAAGTACCTTAAGTAAGCTTTCAAATAAAAAAAGAATCATCGAAATCGGTTCACCCAGTAAAAAGTTAACACACATAAAATAAACAATCAGTCGAATTGAGTACCGTCTCCTTTTTGAAGTCGGCAGAAAACACAGAAAAAGAGCGGCGTTTCATTGCGCCCTTAATAGAGAAACAGATGCTTAGCGAGCAACGTTAAATCAGTAAGTAATCTGCTTGCCAAACGCTCAGTCGTTGCTGCGACCTTAACCTCCAAGGGTTGGACACTAAACAGCTTAACCGCGTACGCGCGCCCTTTGATAAATCCGAACTGTAGATATGCGACCACAGGTTGCCCGTTTTCTAAACGCCAACGCTCCCAAACATCACCAACTGCCGCCCTCAACGATGAGATTTTCGCTAATGCGAAACTTTACCCCGGACCCAAACTGATACCAATTTTGGGTAATACTTGGCAAATGGTTCTTTGGAGAACTGCCAAGTATTGTTGGAGTGTAAGTACATTTTAGTATATTAAAAAGTAACACTTTAACGCAAATGCATGAGATTTAAATAGTGAAAGACGGTAAACGGCATTAAACAGGAAATGTCGCCCTCCTTGTTATAGTTAGTATTTCTTTCTTTTTTATTCTTACAAAGATACTTTAAACTTATAATATCTGTTTCATTCAAAAATAACTCGTAAGATTTTTACGTTAAGCTTATGACAAATGAAATTAAAATACGTGTACAATTTAAGTACAGGTAGTCGATTATAGAATACAACTTCTTTGCTTCTTAAAATACTCGTATCATTAGCTCGTGGCATTAGAAATGAAATTTTAATAAAGTATTAGCTTTAATTTTTCTCTTTATAGATATCTTTCTATAACGGTAATCACCAATGTAGCAGATAAATCTATGAAAACATTCGCACTTTCACGATCAATTTTTTTTAAATTGTGATCAGTCAATAAAATTGTAATATATTATAGCTTCTGTTTTGTATTTAAATTTCGAATACATATTTATTGAAATGCTACGAGTACATAATTTCTATATTAGTTAATTCAAATTAATAATATTTATTATTTATTGTTTGCAATAAAAGTATACTTTTCTCGCACTAACAACGATATGAATGAGTCTCCTAATTTTCTCCTTCGACTTAATTGTCTAGTTTTGTAAAAAAAAACTATCGCAACTGTATATTAAAATATGATATTTGACGATTCACATTACCGTACAAGAAACAGATAATTTGGTATTTTTAACCCCACACGCAAAATGAGCTGTGGAAGATCAGGGGCTAAGCGCTCGTCGTAAATTCTATAGTACATGAGCAACCAAATTTGATTTCCACCCGCAACAAGGGTATTGTTTAATGCAGTTTTAAGTGCTGATTTTGCCAACCTGTGTCCGGCGGTGAAACAAAAAATTGTGAGATAACGTACAAAGAAGTATTTCGAGAACATTTAAAGTCTGAATCAATGCGTAAACTTTTCAGAAATGAGAGGAGGTCTGGTCCCATCTGTAGCTTAACTTTTTTTACGTACAAGGTACTAATAGTATAAATCATTGATAAATATGTTAATGAAGAAGTTGCTAAGGTTGGGGACCTGACATGTTGTTGTAGATTTTTTATTATAGCTCATTTAAGTTTCTTGGCTCCATCCTATTATTGCTCAATATTTAGTTCTTTGTTTATCATGTACAATATTATAAACTATAATATTAAAAAAAAACTAAAACTAGAAAATTAATTATCATATAGTCCTACTCTCCGCGGTAAAGTGCCAAGAATGTTGGCTTCGTTTCCCCGCTGAATGGCTATACTTAGCCTTTGAGCGAGAAAAGAACCAGCCCTCTTATCACCAGCAGCAACGACTAGCTGCGGATGGAGTTCCTTTAGGAATTTCACCGCACGGACCCCACGGACCAATAATCTCTACAGCAAATAGCAAAAATATGTAGTCATCTCTCAGAGACTCATATTTGTGCCACTTGCTCAGTTCAGCTGCCTCTGATGCTGCCCCGGCTCTAAGCGAGGTACCCCTGAGATGAGAGGCCGCCAGAGTATCAACGCAAGTAACATCCCACACTAGGGCTTTACCTCTCTCCCAAGGGACCAATATCATACCGTCAGGTCTCCTGCCATCGTCTCTAAATATTCCACAAGGCTCTAAAACCTTAGAACATTTATAGAGACAAGAGCCCTTCGGATGATATCGTTCAGAGAACTGTGTCGTGAAAACCTACCAGCACTTTTCTTACATGAAAGTCCATGGAGTCCAAATTTATCGACGCTGCTACCACATGGGCACTGATGGGGTTGACAAATTGCCGCTACTAGTCGGATTGCTACGGCAATACGCAAGCTTTCCCCATTAACTAATGTGCCGAGATTACTTGATGGTAAAGCGTGTAACAAGTGACTAGATTCCTTAGTCGAAGCAGCTAGAAGGCGTGACTTGTCTTGGTCACTGTGGAAATTATGAAACAAATATTTCTACACGCTCTGTACCAACGGAATATCCCACTGTTTTTGTTGGTTAACTTACAGTGGAAAATATTCACCGGGACAGAGCATTAGCCATGTCTGCCCTGCCTCTATAACAAATCACAGGTCTACTTTATTATTTAAAATTATGTTACATAAGTCACTGACACTGTTCACGGAAGTAAGGAAAGCAGACAATGCAACGCTAGAAAGATTTCTCACACCAATTATACCTTTTATAGGTAAAGAAGCTTGAGTCCAGGCTGTTGTATTTAAAGTTAAATTTAAAAAAAAATTCTATAGCTATTTTAAGATTATTATCAATATCTTTTAAAACATCCGAATATTTCCAGACTGGACACGAGCGGAGTAAGTATGTAAATCTAGGTACAAGAAGACAATATTTTAAAATAGTTTATACATGCTTTAATTTATACAATTTATCAACGTGGTTTAGAATCTGATCAAATTTTGTTTTTAAAGTAGGTTTAATACTATCGAAAAACAACGGGGTACCTAGCAGGTATAGTGATGCCGTACTGACAGTTTTTATTCCTGGAGAAACATGATTGAAATTTTGAATTAAAGGGTCTCTGTGAGAAGTAGATAAATTATTGGAAAAAAATATTTCACATTTATTGCTATTTGGTTCAAGATCAATATTTTTAAAATTTAGAAAAATATGGGTAAGATCACTGAGGACGCCATCTGCTCTACCTCACAGTGTACCGTTGTTCAGGTACCAGACATTCAGCTTGGATTTCAAATTTGAAATAATGGGTTGGATTCCCAAACTGAAAAGTGCTGGACCTAGTGGGTCACCCTGCTGTACACCAACAGCAGAATCGATAACATGGTTTTTGTGAAATGTATAAACCTTAGTAAATTAGCCCACTTACCATGAGGAGAACTTTAGATAACTTGTCACTTCAATAAAAAAATCCTATTTGTTATTTTCTGACGTATATCTGAAAGGGAAAAACCGAACCCTTATAGGATTACCCGGTTGATCGTCCGCCCGTCTGTTAAGAATCTTTTCTTGAGAAAAGGTTCTTGACAGATGGGCGGCTTTCCTTAGAACCAGTAGAGGTACCAGTTTGAAATGAATATGTAAGAAGAAGATGAAAAAATTCCCGTGAAGATGAAAAAAGAAATTAGTTTTCCAACTCACCACAATCAAATGTCACGGCCATTTGTGTGATTTATTTTGATATGGAGTACTTGCCGGTTTTCAAAGTATTTGAAAGATTTATAATAACATAAAAGAATCAATTTAATTTTTTGTCCACATAAAACATAGTGAATAGAAGTTTGGGGTGGCCTTTCATTAGATGGAATGACGTACCTGGTAAGACATGCAGGAAGTTGATGTTTTACGTGATTTGTGGCATTCCTTGGGGGAGGCATATATTCAGCAGTGGATTTGTGAACAGCTGTAATGATGATGATGATGATAAAATAGTTATAATAAAGCTAACGCCTACTTTTCTTTCGGCCCGTAATATGGAATATAGCAAATTAATACTATAAAGACCTCTTAGGACGATAGTTCTACTCGTACATGTTCGTTTTTTGTTAATCTTAATATTACAGGATTTTACTTGCAGAAATGGCAATACATTACAAAGTGGCAGTCTTTAGAGTCCTAGAGAGCCTTGACCTGATGAGTGTTTAAATTATAAAAGATTACCATGTACATCATGCCAGAATTAGCTGTTACT